CGTATTTATACATATTTCATTTTTAATTCCTGGAAACGCACAATTTCAGAACTATTATACTAGTTCTGGATACTTACCGGCATTTCTCTATATTCGTATATTTAATTAATATATAAATCGCTACTTCGCCTTTCTGTTTTATTCCGATTTTATTTATTTTAAGTCATAATTTAGTTTACATATTTGACGTCTTCGTGTTTTTATCCGTTGCCATGGTTACCCAGGACACGGATACTCTCTCCAACTAGGTCTATGCCTATTCAACCTCCACAGACCACCTACTTTGATTCTTTTTACTTCGATTCGAATCGTGTCTAAATTTAAATGGTTCCGCACACATAAAAGGCCGAGCCATCCTGAACCTGAAACCATTTCTTTGGCAAAAGTTGCCTAATTAACTTTTGTTAGCTCGTTACCGAGCGCTAAATTATTAAAAGGCCTTGTCCCGGGGCCGGCTGCCCCGGAACTCAAGCAAAGACCTCAAAGCTATACAGCACCCTTTGGCTCTTTAAACTTTACTTCACTTAACTCCTCTTCACTATGCTTTCAACCTCATCGGCGAGAATTGGGAGATGCCTCACTTCAAGCGCAGGAGCCGCAAGGAGCGCCGTCCATCTGCCTGCAGCACGGCCTCCCGCTCAAGCCAACTCTGAGGATAACCGACGACCCACGCCCACTTCACCACTACATACTGCACACCCCACACTTCACACATTCACACAATTTTTTTTTATATTCTTTTTCTGTAAATGTTTTGTTCCTGTAAATATATATTCTATAACCTTTTCCTGTTCTCTCCTTTTTTTATTTTATTTTATTTATTTACTTTGTTGCTACACAACAAGGTTAAAGAGCCACTATTTTTAAATTATTAATATGACAACGCATTTGGTAAGTACTGTTTGTAGTAGTAGTAATTAGCTAGCCACTTAAAAACACTGCATTTTTACTAAAAATGGCAAAATCTGAGCAAGCTCCAAGAAGTAGAATTTAGAAAGTAGAACAAAAACTCTTTGGACAAAATGAAGCAAATGAAATTTAAAAAATAAGGGAAAGCAAAAGAAAAGGCTACTTATGTGGATGCTAATTGTCACGCTGCTCCCTGCTGCTGCTGTCAGGCAGAAAGCAAGGAACGCATGATCAGATTTTCATAGAAAAAATCTTAGACTGTAACGGTCTTACTGCAAAAAGTTAGACACGGTTTCAAACCTTGTGTAGGCCAATTTTGTATGACATTCTTTCTTAAACTCGTGTTGACTGCATGTCTTACTCTTCTGTGGTAATAAGGTGATAGTTTTACAAAATTAAATTTTATTTTTAGGTAGCTAACAAATTACAACTACTAAATATAAAATATAATGCTTCAGCATTATAATAGCAAAATATAATAGTTGTAATTACACAGTCAGGTCATAAGTATTGTCACACAGTAAAACTTTTCTTTTAAAATGCTGGCCACGAACAAGTTTATTGAATTCGAATTTCGAATTGTTCATGAAAATAAAAATGTATACTTTTTAGAATTTTACTCATTTTTAAATATGGAGTGGACGCTTAAAGAAGACCGTGTTGCAGTTATTGCGTTGCATCGTTGCGGTTACCCGCCAATTAAAATATTTGACATACTGAAAAATTTGAATATAACCAAAAGTTTCGTTTATCGTACCATCAAACGATACATTGAAGACTCTAGTGTAGATGACAGGTCAAGAAGTGGTTGCCCTCGGTCTGTTAGGACTCCAGCAGTGATAAAAGATGTGAAGGAGCGAATTCAAAGAAATCCCAAACGTAAGCAGACACTGTTGGCCCTTCAGATAGGGTTAAGCAGAACCACGGTGAATAGGGTGTTAAATGAAGACTTAGGGCTTCGGGCATATCGAAGAAAAACAGGACATCGTTTGAATGCTCGTCTAATGGACCTGAGACTGAAGAGATGCCGCGCTTTGTTGAAGCGGTACGCGGGAAAAAAATATCGGGAAATTCTTTTTTCGGATGAAAAAAAAATTACCGTAGGCGAGAGTTACAACAAACAAAATGATAAGGTGTACGCACACAGTAGTGAAGAAGCGAGCAACCGTATTCCGCGTGTCCAACGAGGTCATTTTCCATCCTCGCTCATGGTATGGTTGGGAGTTTCTTATTGGGGCTTAACAGAGGTACATTTTTGTGAGAAAGGTGTAAAGACGCATGCAGTTGTGTATCAAAATACAGTCCTGGCGAACCTTGTGGAACCTGTTTTTCATACCATGTTCAATAACAGGCACTGGGTATTCTAACAAGATTCGGCGCCAGCTCATAGAGCGAAGAGCACACTAGACTGGCTGGCAGCGCGTGAAATCGACTTTATCCGGCATGAAGGCCCTCCTCCAGTCCAGATTTGAGTCCATTAGATTACAAGACATGGCAACACTTGGAGAAAAAGGCGTGCTCAAAGCCTCATCCCAATTTGGAGTCACTCAAGACATCCTTGATTAAGGCAGCCGCCGACATTGACATGGACCTCGTTCGTGCTGCGATAGACGACTGGCCGCGCAGATTGAAGGCCTGTATTCAAACCCCGGAGGTCATTTTGAATTAAACTTTATTGTCATAAGAATCTATGTTAAGTTCATTTTGGTATATAAATGGTTACATAATGAATAAACTTGTTTCAATTATTTTATATCAAACATGTGACATAATTTATGACCTGACTAGGTTCATGTGTAGATCATTATCTTTTGCTCTTTTGAATTAGATACTTACTATTTATGATATCTTATTTTAAAAATAATAGTACCTACCTAAAACAGTCGTTGATCACGGTTGCTGTCTTTAAGCATTTGCAGCAAGCAAGTGTTATTTATCCCATTGCTTTTGGACAACAGATGTCATTCTTCTCATACCATTACAACAACAATATGGAAAATTCATACTTGAAGTTCGGCTCAGACAGGTTGCCGTCGCTATTTTGTTCCTTATTTGAGTATAAAATATGTTATTAAGCAAACTTCATGAACATGACATTTAGAAAACAATGAAAAAATTCTGAAATCTCTAAAAAAACTCTGGTAAATGAAAATATCCCCTCACTCACTCCTGGAAGATTAAGCTTAACATTATAAACTGACTAGCGGCCGCCCACAGGAACCTAATTTTTTTTCGGGAAAAAAAGTATCCTTTGCCTCAATCCAGGTCATAACGATATACGTACCAAATTTCATCCAAATCCGTTCTGTAGTTATTGCATGATTGAGTAACAAAGATACAAATTTATAATAATATACTAGCAGCCGCCCGCGACTTCGTCTGAGTTAACTTTGTTTTCTTGAGAATCCCACAAGAACCGAACATTTCATAGAGGTACACACTATCCTATGCCTCAGACTAGGTCGTAACTATAACTATATGTAAGTATACCAAATTCCATCTAAATCCCTTCAGTAGTTTTTGCGTAATTGAGTAACGAACATACAAACTTTCACATCCTACATATTAATAATATTAGGATACAGAAATAAATAATACAGACATTAAAAATCCAATATATCCAATAATCCTTTACATAGTAAAGGTATACATATAACGGCTATCAATCCTGTCATATAAACATGTAAGTAATTAATTCGAAACTAATGCGGAAATATATAGATAATTAGAGTGGGTTTCAAGAAACTTCTGAATACGTATTTTTTTAGGTTAATAGGATGACAAACAAGCCTGATGGTAAGTGGCTACCATAGCCTACAGACAGACACTTGCGATACAAAGAATAACTCACATAACACAACCCCGTGGAGCCCGGGAACCTTACTCACCGACAGAAACACAACACCACCGAAAGGCAGTGTTATTTTACTGTACTCTTCTAAGGTGGTAAGGTGGAGGTCACTTTCCCAGACGGGCGCTCCAATTCGAGCGGCAAATCTGCTAAGTTCTCTCTTAAAGTTGCAGTACCTACCCTGATTCTTGAAGCACGCAATATTTTTTTCTGAACTTTTTAAATAATTATCATGTTACAGTTAAAAATATAGAAATCAATAAAAAAAGGAAGTTAAAAATAAACTTCAATTTTGACGTGATTACACTGCCCCCACACGTATAAGAGTAAGTTTAAAAATAATAATTTTACACCTAAAACATGTTTAAAACAATACATTTAGAGTTAACAAAAGCTCAGTTTTGCCCCAATATTTGACGGGAGGGCGACACAACCCATGGCACACGTCGCCACACCTGCCATAACCTGACGCCACCAATTGCAAATGGTAGATTTGTTTAAGGTGGATTTGCTAGGGAAAAGAAAAATACTTTAACCTTTTATAACCATGTTGTTTATCTTCGATTCATGAAGCAAATGCTATTAAAAAAGAAGTAAGTACTGTCAGTAGTAAAACATTTTCCTAGAAAGCATTTTGCCTAGTCGAGTTCAATGTTGTTCACTATAATCATGAAAAGATTAAATCTTTTAAACGATAGAATATCACCTTATTATTCAATATTATGCATAAAGATAAGCACGCCTTTAAGATTCTTGTAAACAATGATCAATTTAAAAAAAAACTTTATGAAGCTTATTAAGGTAGACAAAAGCTCCGAGCCATTAATAAAACAATATCGTTGCCGATACGTTTACAGCGCCTATTCTCCTTAACGACTTCTAAATAGACGACGTGAACGGATCCCGTCCTCCGAACAAGGTAATGGACGGGATAATTACGCGCAACGACGTGCAACAATAGCGGCGCGAGCTTACCGCTCTATGGCATAATAAGCGCCGGCGTATTATGATCGGAGTGCAACAAGTAGCGAGCTGGTATGAGCCGGTCGGTCGCTAGAGCGGGCGCGGGCGCAGGCGCAGCGGTCTAGGTCCGGCCCGTGCGGCAGCGCGCGCCCGGCACGCGCCCCACCGCCGCCTGGCTAGCCGCGCGCCGCCGCCCGCGCCCGCCACCCGCCGCCGCCGCCGCCTGCGCGCGCGCGCTACTTAGCGTCGGGGGTGCGCGCCACCTCCGCCAATCCACCGGCGACCTCCGCGCTGCACGCACACGTGCTCTCTCGATACACTTGACAAGTTCACTCTCGCGATGCCGATGGCAGCCGTACACGCATACCAAAATCTCGGTGTTGACCAAAAGCTGACACACCTGCAGACGACCACACCTCGCAGGCTCGCACCGGCTCCGGTCGATCCCAACCGCTGCAAGAAGAGATCCTACCTTCATCAGCAATACCCGACTCAACCGGCTTCAGTTGCGAGAAGAAACGCCAGGGAACGGAACAGGGTGAAGCAAGTCAACAATGGATTTGCTGCGCTTCGCCAGCACATACCCTCGGCTGTTTCAGCAGCTCTTGCTGGCGGTAGAGGATCTTCACGAAAATTAAGCAAAGTGGATACATTGAGACTAGCAGTGGAATACATCAGGAGCCTGAAGCGGTTACTCGAAGAAAGTGATGAAGGGTGTTCGGATGCCCAGATGACCTTGGGAATTTCCACGGGTGGTCCTCAAACTCCTCCGATGTCGGAAGAATCACATTCACCAGCTCCCTCCTTGGTATCAGAAAGTTCAGTAGGGCCCAGTTCTCATGACGCTTACGATTCATACGAACCGATGAGTCCTGAAGATGAAGAGCTTCTAGACGTCATTTCATGGTGGCAGCAACAATGAAGAAAAGGTAAGCATCTTTGGTTGCTTTATTCATTTTAAATGTCATTCTTAATCTAATTTCAGACTAGATACCTTTATGAATGAAACCCTAAAGTGTATTTATTTTGTGGTGATAAATGATAATTCACAGAGCTTTGATAAAACCTTATCAAAATGTTTACATTTGTCGCGACTCGTTTTGATAATAGTCCCTTAGCACACACATCCAAGTTATAAGCATTTAAAAATATTCCCTTAGTAGTAAATATTCCATACGAGATGCGTTAAATTGAAGATACGTAATTTATTTAAGGTGTAGTCAGGTAGTGTCAAAAATCTTTCGCGGCATTTTTTTATCCTATCCGTCACGGTCCCCGCCGAGGTATACTCTTTTATATTGCACAATCTGAACGGAGGACCTTTTATCCTGCAGGCAAAAAGTAAACACATAAATACTATTATGGTTGCGCATTGAACCATCGGATAGACTTTATCTGCGCATTGTTAAATTAGAAGGACACAATGGTTGTCCCCAACAATAGCGAATCTCAAAATATATAGCTTCATAAAGGATCTATGTAAAGTTTTTTTAATCATAGACAGGGCTTATTTTTCTTAACTTTATAAAGGCAAAGTCGAAGAAGACCCGCATTAGTTATTTGCGTGAATGACCGAACAACAAATTATTGTTCTAACAATATTGTGGTTGGCCCCGCATGTGCGGAAAGAAAATTGCATATAAAAAGTGGTCTATTCTAATAACAAGCACTTATAATGTTCTCTATTTCTTTAAGTGGAAACTGGTTTTGTTTACGCACATGTTCATAAACATCAACATCCGGTCAAAAGAAGTCCCGAACACACCATATGGTCTTACTTTAATGGATTTCGCAAACCAGTAGCTGCGTCACTAAAAAGGTCAAATTGAATTTAATAAAAAAAAAAGATTAGGACCAATACCTGACTGATGTAAATTTATTATGCCGGAAGACGAAATCTCAAGAGGAAATAGTAGGGCGGCGGGCGAAGCACACGTGTTACAATATTTGCTAAGCTCTGCAAACATCTGGTGATACAAGTTCATATATGGGAATGTTACGCGTCACAATTTACAATAGCATACTTGTTAATGTTACTCGTAATTTTTATCAGGGCTCTCTGGATTACGGCAATTGACTAAGCTACTTCCAATATTTGTTAGTAATTAAGATTTTCCTTTTTTCTCAGGAGCCGTGCATTACGGTGATCAAAGTGCGGCCATTGAGCAACTTGTGAAAAAAAACAAGTAATCCTTGAGAGGAACCTGAACGACGGACCGCGATGGGCTCCGAGAGATCCTCTAATTAAGCGCAATCAGTATATTCCTAATGAGAGGAGATAATGGTGGACTATAACGACCTCATCGATGCATTCCGTCGACCGAACACCGAACGAAAATCCTTAAACCGCATTTCATTCATGGATGAAATAGCACAGAAAGACTGAAATGAACATTTGTTCCACAGAAGCATTTAATTACATTTAAGTGATTCCCAACGCTGTGCCTTAATTTTAGCCTTGCGTAAATACTATCACTTCCAGTTAGGTATTGTTCTAGTATTAAATAGTTTTATAATTGTTAACTAGTCACTAGTAGTAAGAATAGTTTATGGAAAGTTCTAAATTATAGTAAGACTTTTTTATGTTTCATACTGTTACCTATGTTCTGGTAAGGTATTTGAACAGTTCAATGATCGTAAAATATAATTTGAAAATCTTGAGACAAAGACTTGTAATGTAAATAGATAATATTAGCACCCTAAGACAGATTCCTAATACTATAAGATTTTATTGAGACAATAACTGTTGTTATTGTTAATTATAAACTTCCAGTATCAACTTGTGAGTTGAGCCTGTAAATAAATCCAATTATGAACGCATACAGCATTATTATTTTACCCTTCTGATTTTGAATTACTGAAATATTAAAAAACTACGTATTATGATAGAAATGAAAGTAAATCAATTGCCATCACAGTAATGCCTGCATCATAATTTTCTACTATTTTTTTCGCTAGTATTTAGACAGTCCGCAATTCCATATTGATCTTCATTAAGTACTCTATACTCCAGATATTTAAAAAAAATATGGATTAATATTTTTATAGTTAATACACGCTACGTAGGCTGAATAATATAGTTTCCGGAATATAAATACACATTAATGTTAACAAAAGCGGTATTTTTAAGAAATAAGGACTGTAATGAGCATTATAAGAAACAAACAGATTCTAAATTTACATTCGCTTTGTAAATTAACATGGTTAACTTTAATAGGAATCTCTGAAAACTGATTATATTTTTATTCATGAATGTGTTGGATAATCTACTTTGGCTATTCCCTAATTTCACAAAATATTTTTAAAAAAAAGTAAGAATTGACGAGTTGTCGTCTGCATTTTATACCCTTAATATTCCATTTCTAAACTTTCGCTGTTTGTCGGTCTGCCTGTGATATTTATTTATTTCCATTATATCTCCATAAAAACTAGTAATTAAAGTTAAAAATACATATTACAATAAGAAACATGGTATTTCAGTTTCTTTCTTTTTTTATTATTACAATCGATTTTATTAAATGCTTTTAACGATACGTGTTCAGGCCCGACTCTTACTTGTTGTTGTCTACAAGAATGACCCGTACTTGTCCAGTTTTTAAAGAAATATGACTTTCCCGGAATAATAATCCTGAATCAAACTTGAGGCAATTAAATTTTTGTCATTGTCTATTCAAACACATTTAGCTATAATTTCTTCTCCGCCCGAGTTGAACTGACCCTCAATTCTTCTTTAATTGATAATGGTTTTTTAATCTGCAGCGAAAGTAACTCTTAGTTTCATTAAAAATAATTGATGCTTACACTTTCGTAGGTGCAAGTAATTAACTCTGTACTAGAGATAATTCTTCATTAAAACCAATCGAACAGCATGATGAATGTAATTTATCAGTCTTTTCGATTGACTCCCAGTTATTCATCTCTTGGTAATCACGCATACTTCTAATGATATTTCAAATGGAGTGTTATTTTATGATCTATATGTAGGTAAGGTTACCTCCTCCTACGGGCGGTCAAATTCGGGCGGGATAACCCGCTACAGTACTCGAAAAAATAACTGTCACCTCCGTGGTCAAGTGGTTTGTATGCCGGGTTTCATGGTGTCGCCGACTTGAGAGGTCTCGGGTTCAAATCCCGGTGCGGGCAGATGTTTGTGTGATGAATACGAGCATTTGTACTCCAGTCATGGATGTTTAATATGTATTTCTATATAAATATACTTATATATATATATATATTTTATCCCATTACACAAGCTTTACAGTGCTCACTTTGGGGCTAGGCTAAGTGGTGTGAATGTTCGAAATATTTATTTTTATTATATTTATTTTATTTCTTCAGGTCGTGTCCTGAGCGGAGTAAGCAAAGAGGCACAAACTTTAAGAAATTGAATGAAATTACTTGATGTATTACATACAGCCTAATTATCTTTTACCGCCCTAGAGAAATTCACATTGCGTTTGAGTTTTGAGCTATACTCAAAGCGTTTGAATAATTATAGTGTAAAAATAATGTTTTGTTCAAAATAAATAGAAGCACAGGACGTCGCAAAATTAAAATAACAAAAAGGTATTCTCACACGTGCCCCAACTCAAGTTACATTTCGCGAATGAAAAAATAATAACACACAATGCTGGCCCGGTGTAGGTATGCTACAATGAATTGTATTTAATTTTGAAAAGACAATCCGTTGCAACTGGATCACGTCCCTGCCCGCCCATCAAAATCAAATCGCAATAGTAATTTTTGTTAATGGAAGGGAAGCTCGGGCCTTTATGGGTGGATATTTCCGTCGGGGCTAATTGTTGGAACTTGTTGCTCTAGACGAACTAGATGCCGCGGAAACTGCACACCTGTGGATTCGCGAATTGTTTTGTCGCTCGGCAGTCTCATTAATTCCTTCATATTAATTGTCGGGTACTATGCGACGCATCCGTTTGCAACCAAATTACAGGTCATTATCTTGTCCATCTAATTGAGTGGGTTAGTCGGCTTTACCGTTTGGATTCTCTTAGGTTTTTTTTCTCAATATCCTGCCGCTAATTCTTTCGTATCTTATTTGTTTTCAAAGTAAATTATGATTGGCGGCAACATATCGACAATTATAACATAGAAATTTTGTTAGAATTAAAAGTTCATAACATAACACTAAAGTTCAAACATAATTTGAAAGCTAACTAAACACAAATTGGTTAAGGTATGATAAATAACATTGAGGTTAAAACGATAAAACCAATGCGAATTAAGCAATTTTCCCATAAAAAAAATACATTAAATTTTGATATTATTTCCGGACCTGTTTTTTTTAAAGATAACTCAATGATCTTTGACTCAATAAAAATTATAAAACAAATTCTAAAAGAAATATTTTTATAGAAATAAAAATTTACACTACGGATTATTTTCAGGAGCTTTTTTTTCATGATAACTCGAAAGACCTTTGACCTGACTTCAATCGGATATCGAGACGTTCCAATCGCTGGGCGTCCGTCCTCCGCTCGTGAGCGCTCGGCCGCGCTCGTGCGTCGAAGGCACGCGACCGGCGCGCGCGCAGCTGCCGCGCCGTGACCACTTGCGCAGAACCGATTGTTTGTACCAATCTCACCTGTAACACTTGATTTGAAATTATTCGGAATAGCGGCTCCTTTGTCCGCATTTTTTGTCTTCCGTCATTCTCTTAAATTCATGATTCAGATTTTATAGTTTGAAAGGGTAGCCAGAAAAATTATAGAGTTACTCAGTACCGAGGATTTCATCAGTACAGACTTGCAAGATGCCATTTTTGCTATGTTTCCTGAGTTTCAATTTAGTAACGAAGTAAGTAAGTAACGAAGAGCTAAATTGTATATACATACCTACTCATTTAGCTTTAACAAATATAATATTTATAACTATATATGGAACCATGAACTTTTTTCATTCATTGATATAACTGAGTTATATAAAAATTTGCTAGTTAAATTTATTTGAACTCACAATACCACTACTAGATCATGAATTACTTTTTCAGAAGGCCTACTTTTAACTTTTTTGGTGCTTAAACTAATTTAATGATAGTTCAAGGACAAGTCTTTACAATTGTGACTTTCCTGTAACTGCTTCAAGAGTTAAAGCTCTACTTTGTTTAAGACGTAACAATTATCCTGTCTGGTACTAAAATTTAGTTCTTTCAGTATATAAAAGGGATAAAGACATTATTAATTCGAGGCAGTACGAACTGATTAAAATTTTCAACACTTTGAATACAGGTTACCTATAAAATGTCAGTGTCAGAACCGGTCGCACCGGGACATGGTCTTTTACTTTTATAATTACTGCAATCTATATAAGACTTCTGATGTTCTACCATATTAATACATCGAAGAAAACGACAAAGCACTTTTGTTTTTATTTGTGGACATTTATATGGAGTGTCTTAGCAAATTAATAGACTTTTTCTTAAACATTCCAAGAAGAGTAAAAAGGTCAATTACTATCGAAAATGCAAAGATTAATATTTATTATGCCTCTATTGGTCCCGGCTGCATCTGCAGTCATTAGCACCCGCCAATCCGCCCTGGGTCCGCTTGGTGGGTCATGGCCCAATCTCCCTATTCCATCCATAGGGAAGGTCTGTACCTCAGCAGTGTGGGCATTAATAGGCTGATGATGTGATGATGATGCCTCTTTTAGCATATGCTAAAGTGGCGATATCGTCACGTTACGGAAAAAAAATCAAAAACGGACCGTGCCACTAAAGCTCTTGCAGAGACTTAAAAACGAAGCTGTTTCATAAAAGCGAAGTGAAATTGTAGTTGGAAATTTGAAACATCAATTTTACGTGCTCGAGGTCCCTGGAGGGTTGTCCTTGGCCGCCAGTGTACTGTTGCCGCAAATAAACGTGTGACCTAAATCCGTTGCGCGGGCACAATTCTATTTTTGAATACCGAACAAGTTCAAGTGATGTAAAGTAGAGTAAGTGGGTACATACAAAACTTTTTTGTGACTACTTAAAATAAATGCTCCACACGATAACTATATTGTTGTTTACTTTTCTATCATAAAAAGGGGTATAGTTTTAATTGCCTTTAAGTGAATAAAATATTTAAAAATAAAACTATACGAAGATTAACAATGTAAATTATAAGATTTTGTATAAAAAATATCTGAGTACACAAGAAAGGCACGGCACATAAGAGCGCGGCAAATATTTTATAAAAATATTTATATTTTCAAAAAATGTTCGTGAGGTCTCGTACAAGAAAGAGGTTTCTTTTTAGAAAAAGTCGAAGCGAGCTTCTGAGCATTTAAAAAACAAATACTGGTGGAACAATATGAAAATAAGCGCCGACAAAATTTTGAATTATACAGAACAAAACGGGAACACTGACACTGACCAAAAATGCCATGAGACGCTCTACTTCCTTACTATTTAATTAATCAGACTCAGTCATGCAATAAATCGTCGGCGCATAATAAAACTTCTAAACGACCTTTAATGAATTGGGACTCAGTAGCAGGTAGTATACGTCACAGAAACATTCCAACTATCTCCCAATGGGTCTCATAAAAATTACAATTAAACCGATAGAGAAAAGATCTAAAGACGTGTGTGTCAATGATGCAGTCTTAAAACTGTACTCTTAATGACCGGACCCACATAGTTGCACTGGTAGAATTCTTCCTTTTTTGTGAAACGCCGACACCTAATCTATTCACAATATCAAAAATTGAGGACACAGGACACAAAAGTAGTCAACAAAACACATAAAAAAAGAATTCATTAAAATAACACCCTTATTTTAAAAATGCTACCTCAAGTCAAGGTAAGCTTTAAGGAGGTA